GAGAAAAATGTAAATAATAACAATAGTGAGAACAATAATAATAATAATCAGTGTACATCCTCTATTTTACTATATGTGTTATGCGGAATCAACGAAAGCCATTTGAAGTTGTATCGACTTGTAATTTTAAATTTAGATGCAGGAGTAGTAGTAAGTAATTTATTTGTACCTCAGTGATTTTCAGGTAAGTTTGTTGTACTCAATTTTGGTGACAATTTTTATTATTTAATTACTCGAATATATCATGGTAAAATATTAAACAATATTTCAGGTTACCACACTCGAATATTAAGTAATGCTTCATGATGGTATTCTACCAATATTTAAATAAAAAGAAATTGTCATCAAAATTGAGTACAAAAAACTTACCTGAAAATCACCCATCTACTATACTTTAAGTAAGTAATTTTTTAGTAGCAATAGAGGTGCTTGTGAAAGAGTTCGTCCAGGGAAGTACTACCTTACCTATTTCTGAGCATTACTGCGTTTCGTTTTTCAAGGGTAGGGGTGCTGAAATAGCAGGCACATGGGACTTTTCAACTTATGTCTAAGGGTGACGGGCGCAGTGGCAGTGCCTCTCAGATCTTTGAGATTTAAAACTTTAAGTGGCACATGTGGTATCAGGCGCATGACTTGTTCGTTCCATTACTTAGTATCATAAAAAAAACTCTTCGATCATCGTGACCATATCGTGACATTGGGTTAAACTACTGATTTATTTCGGACCATGATCCATAGTAATGTTAGTAATACAGTAAATTTTTCTTACGTGCTATAATTGATACAATATCAAAATTACTTAATTCTAGTGAAATGCCACGTCTAGACCACTACCCTACACACGTGTAGTTGCACCCAATGTATTATATGTAGGGGCAGTCCAGCCTGTTGGCAACGACGGCTAGGATGCTATTAGCTCTGCCGCGCACACGCATCATGAGTGAGGCAGCTTTCTTGCGCATAATGGCGTGAAAGCCATCTGTGTGCGCCTCCGTGAACATTACAATGCACTACAATGTCGCGGCAGCCCCATTAGGATCCTAAAAGCGTTGTTATATTGTACCCTTAATGTATTCAGGGTTCTCTGTGTATACTTCACCCATAGGCTGCTTGTGTAAAAGTTTTGCCAATATGCTTTAAATAATGAGAATTTTTGATGTAGGAAATGAAATTATTTTTCCAGATTTCAATCGCGTGTTTGTTTTTTCAAATAAACCAACGTTTAGGACCCTTTACAGGTCCCATGGTCACGGTCGACTGTCAAAAATAGTTTCATTTCCTATGTGTAACAATCGCGAAAACCTAAGAACACTGATGAATTTTTCAGGTTTTTGTTGTTAACGAATTAATGGAGGATATCGTGCTGATTGACGGTGTCTGCCAAGATCTGGCCACCAGGGAAGTATTCCAGCCACCTTGCTATATTCCTAGGTAATAGAGTTATTGATAAAAATTTTCATCATTTCATCATTCACTCATTACAAGCCCTACTGTTGCGCATAGCTGAGAGATTTTTATGTCATAGTCCACCACGCTAGCTCAATGCGGGTTGGGGACTTCACGTTTTCCAAGGCTTGGGTATCATCTTCATCACGATGTGTTCCTTCACTGTTGGTATGTATTGTATTGTAATTGTATTATATTGTAGAGCTCCTTGTGAAAGAGTTCGTCCAGGGAAGTATTGCCACCTTAACTATTTCTGCCGCCTTATTAAGCAGTAATGTCAGCATTACTGCGTTCCGGTTTTGAAGGGTAAGGTGCTGGTGTAATTACAGGCACATAGGATTTGTCAACTTATGTCTCAGGGTGACGGGCGTAGTGGCTGTGCCCCTCAGATTTTTGTGATTTAAAGCTCTGAGTGGCACTGCAACTGTTATGGACAGGCATGTAACTTACCACCAGGCACACGACTTGTTCGTCCCGTCACTTGATATTATAAAAAAAATGTATTGTTGCTAAACATTCACAAATGAATGTCTCACTGCTGGGCAAGTATCTCCTTTAAGAATAGGGCTTTGGCGGTCGGGGAAATTACGTTTGTCAAGGGTTATGTTCTTCGATATGCATTTTTTTTTTTTTTTATGTTAACCAGTAGGCAAACGAGCAGACAAGCCACTTGATGGGAGGTGGTCATTGTCGCCCATGGACACGAGCAATACCAGAGGCATCACCCATGCGTTGCCGACTCCGGAGAACCTTGTTTACACGTCTTTTGAAGAACTCCATGTTATAGCGCAAGGGGAACACTTCAGGAGGATGCATGTTTCATCACGATGGTTACTTTGAGCAAGATATATTGCTACTTAACATGCACAAATATGTGTATAGTTAGAAATTAGAGAAATAAACGTTGTACTACTAGGCTACCACTGCTCTTTTTATTATAAATCTACCCTGGTACGTAGAATTTAGGCAGGTGTTACTCCTAAAAAAAAAAAGAGGTGTTAATTCGTCCGTGTTTTGTAGAAAGAGAGAAAGTGCCATTTTGAAAAATTTTTCGCGGGAGTATGTTTGGGTTTTAAAATATTCACGCTCTGGTTTTAAATTCCATTTTGGTTTTAATAAAGTTTATGTTTTAAAATTGAATTTAAAACTGGACGTAATTATTTTAAAACAGTCGTGAAAAACTACAACTTGCTTCCCTGAAAAATTTTTCAAAATGGCGCTTTCGCTCTTTCTTCGAAACACCGACGATTTGTAGTTGTATTAAAGTTTTTTTTTTGACAACTTCCGTGGCTCAACGCCAACGGTTTGCACTGTGGGGACTGGATGAGCAGGTCTCGGGTCCGATCCGACATTGTAATAATATTTTAAGTAAGTCAATGTCATTCATTCTATGATTTTTTTGACAGAACAGCCCACCGGTTGATATTCCCCAAGTCCTCTCAACTGATGGTGAGCATTGGGTGTCCGGAAACGAAGCTGCTGATCGTGCCAGCCAAGGACAGTGACGAAATGGATATTATGGAAGACGAAGTTGATGACACGCAGTGTGAGCTGGTAAGTTGATTTTCGACTTTACACATGTATTGTTGCAGCGACGACAAGGTTTCTTTTATATGGCACACAAATCGGCAAAAATTGACACGGTATTGAGGAAGTAGCGCAAATTTGTTGTCAGTTGTAGGGTATGAGATCGTCAGTTCTCTGTGCTTTTTAAATATTGCACTAAGTCGTCCTTCCCTTTAAGACATGTTGCTTTTGAATAGACCAATTCTGCACATATAAATAATCCTACCAGTAAAAGGATATTAGAGGATGAGACCCTCACACCTGTCCGCAATCATCTTCACTCTACTGTTTTCTGAATTTGCTTTTATACGCATGATCGCGAAGAAACCAACATATACGGGCTTTGGTAGACATCCTCGACAAAGCCCTGAAGATATTTGGTGCTACTAGGTGATACTAGGTGCCTATGGATTTTATTTAATTACGTCAAAATTTCATAGTAGGTATATACTGGCAGGTTTCAAACATTGTTGTCCTTTAAAACTTATCTATCTAACAATTTTGACGAAAATGGATTAAGCATCTCAATGTACAACTGAGATCCTGAAGGGAACTATGTAAGAGACTTCTTTTCGTTCAATATTGTAAGTTACATCTATACATATACAATTTTTCATTTTCAGATGTCAAACAGTTCGTCCCGTTGCCTATACCACCGAGTGGCTCGTCGGCTGTCGAGCGACTCGCGACGCACTCTTTCACAGCGCGGAGGACGCAAGCGGCGCCGCGGTGGTGCGCGACGGGTTAACTACCGGGAATCTGTTTGGGGGAGTAAGATTGGTTGTAAGTGCTCTTCCCTTGTATTATGAAATATTCATAACCACTGGCGCCACTTTCAAGATTGAAATCATACAATGAATGTTTATTTATTTACGTCACTGGGGGTCTACTCTCGATGTCCGTTCGACATCCGTCCGAAACAATTACTGCCAAATAAGCAATACTTGACCAAATGAAAAGACGCGTGATGCGAATGGAGCTTCGTACTTGATACTTGACTTTTAATTTTGTCGAATATTACTTATTTGACAGGAAAGGCGAAATTATTATCCTCCAAAGGGGCTCTTTTGGAGGTTAGTAATTTCGCCTTTCCAGGGACGATTCATTTTGTGTCCAAGTGTTTGATCAACTTGAAGTTTATGACTTTGGAAATCCGATGACATTACAATAATATTACCTTGATCTGATACTCCAACAGGGCAGTGTACAGGCTACTCAACTTACTTTTTATTACTTATACAGGCCGTATATTTGAAAGTGGGACATACTTATAGAGTGCGTTATATTCCTGATTCTGAATCCAAAGAAATAATAAGCTAATGAATTTCAGTTTACAAAAAAATTTTTTTTATTTTTTTTTATCGAGTACTACTTGAGAACAACATTAGTTATCGAAATCTATGCATATCACTATTAGTGCTCTGACACAGCGGCGGGTGGCGACACGGCGGCGAAAAACAAAGCACAGCTCGGGGGCGGGGGCGCGAGCGCATACGCGAAATTGCTCAGTGCACGCGTGACCTTGATCTAACCAAGACACGTAAATTATTTTTATATCCGCTCGCCCTATCGCCGCAAAATGGATATTTATTCTAACGTCAAATGGATATTTATTTTAACGTGAGGCAAGCTATTGAAATGTTCCCAAATCGGAGTTTACGCGGAGGAGATGAGCAGTGTCGAAGTATTGCGTTAGAGAATTATCTCAGCATTTTATACTGTGAGACAAAATGTGTTTGTGTTGTACAATTTAAAACAAAATTTATTATGCCATGCTAGACTATGCATTGTGGAAAACGGTGGACATTTTGAACATTTGCTCCGTACCACGTAAGTGTAAATAACTAAAAAATCAATCATTGTAAATAATTTGATTTCACAATTCTTATTAAATGATAACTAGTTACTAAAACATAAACTTATATTTTTTAGTACGTAAAACATTTTGATGATAATTCAAGTAAAAAATAATTAACAGAAGCTAAAACGTAAATGTGAAATCATTGTTATTGTTGCTTTCTCACTCCGCACTCGCTTGGTAGTATTCCCATTGCACTCGAAATCAAGCGTAAAGGGAAACGGTTTATTCCTATGTACACTTCAAAACACATTTTGTTGATTTATTTTTTGTTCTGTCCCATATCCTAATTTTATTTTAGTCTATGTTAAGTTGTAACATGATTTACTATGACATGTATGAATATGTCTCATTTTCAAATATAAAGCCTGTATAATAGTAGAGCCCTCGTGTTTGGGCTCAGTAAATTGGTCTCGGCAAGTTCACAGATCGATACCTCCAATGAACACAACGCCAATTAAATTTTTGGACCTGTTCTGTTTTTATTTTGTTTTTTGAGTCTTTTTTTCACACAATTAGCTTTTTTTGAAATTTTGTTTTTTGTTTCTTTATTTTTTTTCACAAAATTCTAGGAGTTTAATACTAATAAACTTAGACTAATAAATAAATTCGGCTCTTTACAAAAATACACAGAAAATGACCAAAAAATAAAGCTATGGTTTATTGACTTTTTGGAGTGTTTTGTATAAATTTGATGATCTCGGTGGCCTAACGGTTTATATTGTGGGCGCTGGATGCTGAGGACCGGGGTTCGGATCACCGCAGGGCCAATTTGGGAAATTAACTTTACTAAACTGATTCTGGTCTGGGTGTTCTGGGAAGTGCCTCAGAATTCCACTGTTCTGACACTCATACTACAGGGAATTCCCTAGTTTGAGTCCTGGAGGCAATTGGTGTAGTTGCCTGGCACAAAAAAAGAAAAAAAAAGATCAATTACATATAACATTAAAACGCAATTGTTTATACAACAGCGGTGGCACAAGTGGGGAGCGACAAAGACGCGCATGTCAAGAAAAGCATGTACAGACCTACCTTGGAGACGGTAAGTACCATTCCTATTTGCGATGCTAACCAATTTACCTTAATTTTTACACACCAAAAAATTTAATTTGGTGTTTTCGGCGCGCTGAGCGGTTTCACGCACAGAGGTGCAATCAAAATTTAAGAGTCTTTAAGCAAAACGGATTTTTTTAAGATACTCCTAGTGGAAAGCGACACGCCTGTCCATAACAGTTGCAGTGCCAAAAGATCTGAGGGGCACTACCACTGCGCTCGTCGCGAAGAGACATTAGTTGACAAGTCCCATGTACCTGTAATTTCACCCTTCAGAAGCGGAACGCAGTAATGCTCGCATTACTACTTCGCGGCAGAAATAAGTAAGGAGGCAGTACTTCCCTAGACAAACTCCTTCGCAAGGAGCTCTACTGCTACTAGAATTGCAAGTTTTATTACTTACATAGTAAGTTCAAGGACCACAAGCTTGACGGCATTGTGGGACTAAATATAATACTGCCGTGCTCTCACTAAAACGCGGCTAGGGACAAAATAATTTTTTGAGATATCATAAAAACCATAACCCCGTTTTTAGATTATTGTTTAATGATATTTCAGCTTTGCATCCGTTGCATCTGTTCTGATAAGTCGAAGACGTTAACTAATTTTAACTGTTTTAAAAGAGTTTGTTTGACCATTTGTCACTTAGCCGCGTTTTCGTTAGTGGACGGTAGAATAGAACTACAAACTACTACAATAGTGTAACTACAAACTACTACAAAAGTGCAAAATGTCGCGATGCACTCGCGTTGCATGGCGCGGGTTGTTGCACACATTATGGAATGCGCAAAATTTTTTTATATATATTTTTTATTTATAAACGTGTAGTTATGTATGTATATTCAAACTCCCATCGAGTATATAAATAACTAGAAATAGACGAAATAATGGCCATCCATACCTGGCAGCTCACCAGGTAAATGGGCCTTATACCCTATATCACTTTTAAATATCAACTCTCGTTTGCGCTGAAATTACGAATTAAAAAACTGAAATAATGCAGCGCCAACAACTGACCTGTGTGTACGTCTCCGAATATCCCAAAAATATTCTGTATTTATTGTAATAAAGATACTGTTCCATTCGGTGGTGTGGGAAAAACAGCAAAACATCTAATTACAAAACAAACGGAATCACATTTCATCGGTAATTAAATATTAAATGTGCAATTTTGCAATTTTCGTCTATTATAGTAAAGCTTAAGTTACACTGGTCGATTTGAAGTGAAACAATTGACGAAGGTGGCCAATCACAGCGCAGTTGTCACAGTAATGATTTGGAAGAATAGTTTTCAAACAAATTAAATATTGTCGTCTCTATTTCTGGTTATATACTCGATGCAGACTCCCATTACATTTCTTTTTCGTGATCATACTGGTACCAAATCGCGATGTCACGCCGTAAGTTTGTATGTGTGATGGTAAAAGGGGCGGGCGAAATCAGCTGATAGAGCTTATGAAAGAACACTCACCGAAATATAAAAAAGTGAAACAAAGTCTGGATAATTAGAAAATTTGACTGAAATCGCCATGTGGTACGGAAATTCCCCCCGATTTCGGGAATAATCGGAAATAAAATAAATGCCACAAGAAGTCGCTGTATTCGTCTCCTCTAGTAACTAATAAGAGTTTTTGCTTTACAGACCTTGGAACCGAAACGTAAGTATAAACCTTGCCTAACCTACTACTACTAACTGCTACTAAACCCAAACATTATTATTCTTGTACCTAATTATTTTCCCAATTTTTTTATATGGGAACGTGTATTTTATTGCTTTTGAATTATTGACGGGATGTACGCACTGCATTATAAACGCTCGAGCATCTCTGCAAAAGAACCACAGTTGACACTTTTGGGATTAAAATAAATGCACTTTCATCGATTTTCCTCATTCCTCATGCAATTTGAGAGCGATTTTATTTGTGGTATATTACATTTTAACAGTTATAGTGTGGTCCTTAATTAATTGGTAAGTTTATTAACTCACGAATGGATAGTAACTTACAGTGTTTACCGTAAAATTAAATAGCATATAATAATAGTACCTACGGGATAGCCAATTTAGTTATATGTATCTCAAAAAACCAATTACGATTTCCAAGTACTCTCTATGCAGTTGACGCCTACTGCTTTTCCATAAAGAAGTATCAACAACGTACTGATAAAGTTCAATGATTTACATGCATTCAATATTTTATATGACGACCTCCGTGGTCGAGTGGCTTCCACATCGGTTTGCATGGTGTCGCCTTCTCTGAGGTCCCGGGTTCGATGCCCGGCCAATCAATGTAGAAAGCTAGCTTTTCTATATTGTCTCGGGTCTGGGTGTTTGGGGTATCGTCATTGTTTCCGATTTCCATAATACAAGTGCTTTAGTTACTTACTTTGGGATCAGAATAACGTATGTGATGTTATCTAATATAATATTAAAAAAAAAAGTATAAGCACTACGGCAAGGAAAGTAAGATTGACATTTTAGTGTGCGGTACTTTTTAAGTACCTACTGGCCAAGGGTTAAACTTGTTGAATGTCACGATATTTTTACTACCATAATATTCATATTATTTTTGTGAAAATACTCCACTAGTTTGTTATAATTATTTATGCAACGATCGAACAAATACAAAAAAAAATCCTTCGATCTGATTGGGCTCGAACCAAAACGTCTGTTGTGGTGCAACTACGATGCAACAGACGTTGGTTCCGATTAGAATTTAGAACGGTGCCACAACATAACTGACTTTTAATCGCAGGTGAGTTATCTGGCAGATTTGTTAGAGAAAATTCGGGACGCGGCAATCGGCTTGAGTCTGAAGAGGAGGTAAGTATCTTATATTTAGCGCGCCTTCAATGTAGAAGTACGAAATCTTACATCTTTGCGAGACTACTTCTGGGTATATTAGAACATTATGGAAATAATTAGATGCTACAATAAGGATTATATGAATATTGCGTCGTCATCGTAATAACTTACGGGTAATTTCAAATTTCAACAATGGTAACACTGGGGTACCTTTAATTCAATTAAATTCACTTAATTGTAAGTATTTATTTAACTCTTAAATAATAATTTTCTTTTAAATAATTGTAATATGTCATGAAATATAATGTTAAATTATTAATGGATCTAAACCTAATCAAGGAAACATTTTAATTTTTAATTTAATTAAGAACAGTGATAGTGTAATACTATCTATGTAAAAATTACGCTAGTTTTCAAGGTGAACTACAAAAACAATCAGTATGATAGTATAACTACAACACTCATTAGGGAGCGACTACATTTATCGACACGTAATCGTATTAAGCCGGTCACCATGTGTTGTGGTCGTAATTCTTCGGCCGAGTGTCGAACAATCAACAACTCCTGAGATTGCCTCGTAGAGAGGTGAAGCACCTGTCGGCTTAATTTTGGTGATGGTGGCGTTTGTGACCGCATATGCGTTTGTATCATTTATTTTATGCGGATGAAGGGTGGGAAACTGACCTGCATTAATAAAATTATTTAATACAATCGCAGCGATTTTAGGGATCATAGGGTAACAAAGTAATTTATTTCCATTTTTATTAAGTCGATCAGAAAAAGCATTATGTATGTACTTCTTCATCTTCTTTTTCTTATCTTACCGATGGCATACAATTGCCATTACGGTGAAAGGATTTGCCAGTCGACGTGAAGTAGGTGTACGCCGATTGTTGGCCCGGGTGTGTCAGACGTTCAGGAAAGAAATGGTTCCTCCCCGCACTACGTAGGTAATGTAGTGCGAGGAGGCTCTTTTTGTGCACCTTCTATTCTTTTTTAGCTCTTACTACAGGACATGAAGTTTTTTCTGACCAGCTTAATGTAATTCCAAGTCGATAGGTATGGTGAGTCCCTTATGCAACACGATCTAAATTCATGATATGTTGTGTTGTGTGCGTGGTTTATGAATACATAGCTTTTATTGTTTAAGTTATAAGCATAATAGCTCTTGGAGTTTCGAGAACAATTAACAATGAAAGCTTTTATTTCAGATTTATACAACGAACTTTTCCAAGACTTGACGAAGTCACGAAAATGATGAAAAAAATAGACTAATACTATATTCATACATACTCCACTCCAATTGAAGCTATCTGGTACATTTAATGATAGTGTGGTTTGTAGCACCATATGGTTCCAATTCGTTTGATGGTAATTATCATCGTTATGAAGCCACGTGGTTGGCCACTTTGAATTTCTTAATACTCTCCGATATGATTAAAGCAACGTGATTGGTCGGTTTGAAATTGTCATTCGAGAACACGTGATTGGTGAACTTGAAGTTCTTACTGATTTTGACCACGTGGATTATTAAGGCATAGCTATCAAAAGTAGTCATTTTTAGAGAGATTTTATTTTATAGAAGTAATTTTTAATTTGAGATGTGCCTAAAGAATGAGCCTCTTAAGGCGTAAGTATTTATAGTAGGGTATTTTTGTTAATAAGTTTGTATTAATATCGTAATTAAATGATTTTTGAAAATATATTTCGTCTCTTTTGATGTTAACGAAGCAGGATAAAGTTTTAAACTGCTTACGTAGGTTTGGAAGAGTGTGATGTAGACGCAGAGAAATCCATTGCACGATATAATTTAAACAATTTTCTTTTGGAAATACAACTTATATTTTCTTACAGTAAAATAAGTTCATAGTCCCCTGATGATTTATTACGGAACACAAAAGAGAAAACTTAATTGAAATATATTTAATAATAACAATCGAATGAAACTGACTTTTTGTAAATAAACGTAGTTAAAAATGAAAATTTTGTTACATTATAATCTCCTGTTTTCATTTACAAATAAAAAATAATATATAAAAATAGGTTGACGAGTTTTTAACATGGAAAATCCGATTTTCTTTGCGGTCGCCACCTCAAAACGCCTATTTTTATATGCAAATTACTTTTTTAATAACCTGTAGAAGATAGCTAGTTCCCTGATGATTTGAATTTCCTCCACTATCGAGGACAGAGTCCAGCCCTAGCCCACGCGCCCTGGCGCCCTCTAGTAGGCATGCGATCAAAATGGAATAGTTATATAATATTTTCCCCAGTGATCGAAAATTCGGATGCAGATGTTGGGAAGCAATAGTCCGTTTATTGCGCTTGTGCCGCGATCGCTGTAGGTTCTTCGTAGGCGTTGCGAGTGGCGCTCCGTGCCCCCTGCGCCATAGGTAAAGCCGGCACTAATCGTTGAACCATACATATTTAATGAAACACAATATTAATTTCACAATTATAATATTTAAAAACTACTAAGAAATATTAAAATATTACAAAAAACCGCATGGTCCCAAAACGTAATTATGATGACCATGTTATTACAAAATAAAAGTAATTAATATATATTTTTACAATATTTTCAGTTCGTAAACTGTATTTTGATTACAATAACAATTAAGTAAAGCGTTGTTCTTCATATTTTGCTGGGCTGTCGAGTTGCCAAAAAAGATAAAAAAATAAATAATAATCCATCGACCTTTTTAGATTGATAATAGTTAATAAAATAATAATAGTTCCAACACTATTGGAAATCTATATAATGAAGGCACAAAAGTTGTTATCTTCAATTAAATCTGGGGGCACTGCCACTGGACCCGGTATCCTGAGACATAAGTTGACAAGTCCCATGTGCTTGTCATTTCACCAGCACCCTCACCTTTCACAACCGGAACGCAGTAATGCTCACATTTCTGCTTGGCGGCAGAAATAGGTACGCCATGTGACGTTGCAGTAAAATACAGAGAACAACTTTTTATCTGATAAAATAGGAATGTAAATAAAATGCAACTAATACCGAGCACCAAAGAAATATAACAATATAAAATTTCAATTTTTTTTATCATACGTTCTAACATCAAAACTATTGCTTACGTAGAATTTAGAATAACTTTTCAACTTAACTAGTTTATTTTAACATTACAATCTTTTTAGTAGAATTGCACACTTTTTCTGGATTTTTATTTTAATGCATTTTGTTTTTATTTTTTTATGAGAAATACCAGTTGGTTTAATTACTTTAAGCCTTATAAAATTTGGAATATTCATAGAATAACAAAGATATTTCAAGAAAAGTTTTTGTGCTAAAAAACTGTATTTAGTTTAATAAAAAAGGTAGTTTAATAATAAAGGTCAAAACAAGTTTCTTTTGCACCTGTATGGGGTCTATGGGGTGGCCTGAATGAACATATAGTTTCCTTTCTGCAATATTGAGCTCTTTATGAAAATTCTAAAGTAAATAAAGATTTGATAAAAATGTTTCTACATGATTGGTTTTCTTATGTATGACAAGTGACAGTCTTTATACATTTCTTATGGAATTTCTCTATTTTTTACAAACTTATAATGATTATAAGATATGGTTGCTTACGTACTACGTTTACGATGTATTTTGCTGTTTTAATTACAGTACAAAATTCCTATAATTATTATATGTATAATGCATTCATATAAATGTATTTCAAACAGAAGACCGATTGTTGACAAAGAAAAAAAACGCTTGAGCAGTATTTTGTTATAAAACGCAGTAAGACCCTTTTCACAAGGTCTAATGTGCATCCGGCGTTACAAGCCTTTAGATTAGGTTGTTATAGTAAAGAATATAATTGTAACTGATTACGATAATAAATAAACACTCTGACTTATTTATAATACAAATTCTCTTAATATATCAATCTAATCACTAGGCAATAGCAGAATGCTAGTAAATATGATTACAGCGACATTAATAATAAGGTCTTGTATTGCTTGATATTTTCCAATTTTCTATCGTATAATAACAGCATGTCGGTTGACATGTCAGCTAAACCTTTAATGGCAAAGATGTAGTTAAAGGTGTCACTTACACTCATCGGTGTAGACTCGGCAAGAGTCGGTTAGAAAATTATGTCCATGAGTAAGAGCGAAATATAAATAAATAAATGTCTCGTAACCAAGAGAATATAATTTAATGAAAATCTGTTTTTCTTTGTTCGGTATCCAAATGAAGATCAACTGCAAAACCAAGAATGGTGATACTTGTATTGACTTTTGAAATGATTGTGATAAAATCTTATCAAACAATCCTTAAAATATATATATATGTAATCAAATTTACCTACATTCTTTCGATAATAACATTAAGGCAACTTGAATTTGTCTAAGGTGTTAAAATTGTAAAATTGAACTTTACCAAATTTTGGCTCTAACTATGTGAAGAGTGAGTATAAATTTCAAAATATTTAACGCATTATGGAGTCATCGCACAGGCGGTCAGAAAAAACTTTATGTTCGTACAATAAGACCGAAAAAGATGATGTGTATGTCGCTTCCGCTCGGGTTGCCGACGCGAAACGTACAACTAACGCGATCATATGTCCCGCTTTTAGACCTCGTGTCCCGCTGTCCGCAAAATACCTAAAAGTGTCCCGCTTTCACAAAACAGAACACACGTAACAATATTTTTTTTTAAATGTCGCGGAAGCGAAAAATATACAAAACCAGCCGCCAACCATAGTCATACACAATCATAGTTCTTCTTTAACATTTTTGATTCATTAAACAATTTTCAATTTCTTTTTTTTTATCACTAAACGGTTCGTAACAATCATAAACATGTCTTTTATTTTTTAAAACAATAATAAATTTACTGGCGTCCCTCTCTGAGGGTAAAAAATGGACAAGTTACATATAACATCTCTCGTTGTTATTACATTACATATATATAAAGCTTTTTCTGGCGGATTATTGCGATTTTGTGTCGATAAGTGTGGTGACTCCTTTACTACTTGTTTATGAAAGCGGCAAATTGTAACCGGTGTAAAAAAATTCAATTGTATTGACGTAAAATCTGCTATAACACCTAACACAAATTCAATATCATGACGTATGTAACTTCATGGTACGATACTTATTTTTTATAGCATTACATGGATGGCCTCAAGCTGGTATTTGAAATCTCATTAGCATTTTAATGGCATCTTTTACTTATTATTACCATAAACGTTACAGAATATTGCCCTTTAATAATGTTATATGTCATCAATCTACTTTCGTGGCTGTTGAATGTGAGGAGCTGGTTTGACGTTAATGTGCGATGGTGGCTTTGGACTGTGGGCCACTCGCGCTGCCTCTGGTGTGAAATCTCGGTCTCCTCGGTTTGGTGCTCCAGCGATAGAGACAGGGTTTGTAGGGACAGGGGAAGGGCCTGAGAGGCCGGTCATATCTTCGTTTGCGGGCTCCTTAGCGTCTTTTGCATGAGGACTCTTGTGCTGAGTTATGCGCATGCCACCAGCCTTAACTGTGGATAGTGAAAACAATATTGTTAAAAGTATAGTTGAAGAAATATTATTTGCACTGATGAATGTTATTTTTTGGAACGACTTATCCCTTTTCTTACAATAGGGTACAAAAACCATTAGCACTTCTTTTACTTATAGTCTCTTATATATCTTTTTTGAAGACGTTGTAAAATGACAGTGCATTACGCAAACGTGTTGCCTGCTTGCGAACACCCAGTGATTGCAATATATAATGCTAAAGCGGAGTTTGGCGCTCTGTATACGATTTTAGCGCCTTACAAGTGCGGACACTTTTTAGCGCGGACCCGACGTCCATATAATTGTAAGTCAATGGTACATACATACATAATTGTATGTTAAGATTTATATTTATGTTTAAGGAAAATACAATTTTATAAACCAAACTAGAGATCTAATTTATAATTTCTTTTTTATAATCTGAAATGACGAGACAAACAAGTCATGTGTCTGGTGTTAAGCGATACACCTGTCCAAAACAGTTGCAGTGCCACTCAGAGCGTTAAATCGCGATGAAATGATAAAAATTGAAGAATGAATATTTTTATTTGAACCAGAGACTAAAGTAGGTTTCCTTTACTGGTGTTTCAGCATGTGCTGAATTTTACACAAAATACATGCAAATAAGGTAAAGTTTATAATGTACAAGTAAAATATATCAATACTGGTAATTAAAAAAAAATATTTTAAATTCCATTGCAAATTTCAATTCTGTCCCATTTCACACATAATGCCTAATAAAAACTAAACCTTTTCCTATTACTAAGGTATATGTTACATGTAGTAAGAGTACTTCACTAATTGATTGTTTGTTTTCCTTCCTATAGAGGATAAAATTAAATTTAGAACAGTACCTACTTGTGTGACTTTTTTAAATATATGCAGAAAAACAAACAGGGATTTAATTATTTTAAAATTTCATATTTAATGAATTAAAATTAAGTTACTATATACATTAATACATCAATTTGACATAAACAATCTAATATAGAGGTTAGTGAAACACAATTAATTTTAAGTACTTGATGCCATATATATATATAGATCTAGACATATATTATGTATCTGGGTAGCACATAGATATACAGGTAAATTTTTTGTTTGAAACAAATCTTAAAACTCATCCAACCAGAAAGTTTAGGCTAATACATAACCTGACGTCAGCGCTACATAATTTTTCAAGGTCGCATGTAATCTTTATTACTAAGTCATAGTTTTTGCAACCATAATATACGTGATCAAGATAAGCGTATGAAAAATTAAATTACTACCTACCGAAATATTACTCAGAACCGAATTATTTAGATTATACTTAATTCCCATATGGTGTAGAGTCTTTTATTGATTTACGAACACATGTTTGGAATATTATTAAAAGAAAAAAAAGATGTAAACAAAGGATTTGGTTGAAACGTAACCCATTACCTGCAGGTGGATGCCCAGCCTTGAGTTGAGAAGTCTCTTCAGTAGACGACATGATTTAAAAAAGTATTAAGTTGTACAAAAAGCACGTTGAACACAAAATCTTATCAGTTTGTGCCAAAAACACATAAAAACTGACGACGTGTACTCCACAACGGTGACACGAGCGCGGTGAAATGTCAAAAAAAAAATCTTGACTAGTTCTTTATAGTGCACGGAATAGGTGTGAAACTGTTATAAAATACTAGTTATTATTGGAAGTATGGTTGGATTAATTATCACAACTGTTGAAGTACTATCTAGTGTCAAGTAGAATTAACTAAAATAAGAAATAAATTGTTTTATATCAAAATGATAGATGGCGTTAGTAGTTGATTTATTTTGAAAAAGTATCAATGAAACCATTGATCCATTGACCTACCAACAAATGGTATCTGTCCGAAGTTAACCTATACCTTAAACGTAGTGACATGTAACGAAATATAAAAACTAAAACATTTGACTTAAATTGTAATGTTATTGCAGTACTGCCTAATTTTGCTTGCAACAATTTAAGGGCCCAAAAGCACCATATTCAGCTTCCACTGGAAACTTAACAAAATGCACCATATTTAGCTTCGACAGAAAGTTACTTAAACACAAGAGTAATGAAGAAGCCTTTATTGTAAATATCAATTAATTTTTATGTATATTATTATGTCGAATGTACGAATTCACTTCAATAAATAATAAAGAGTTGAGCAGATACATACATGCAAATATTACTACAAATGTTAAAATAAGCGTGTACTATAATAAATGTACCGATACTCCAACTAAACGTAAACTCAAATATCCATAATTCCGAAAACCAATTTATAATAAAACCGTTACGTTTTCGAGTAATTTTGATGCTTTTCAAAAATACAATATTAGCTTTTGTTTTGTAATCTTCCTAAAAAAATACAAAAATACATTTGACATTAGGAAAATTCGAACTAACGTTATTTTGGGCAAATGTATATTCTAATTTCTGATAGGTAATCCCAAGTTGTAAAATGAGTACAACAATATTTTGTTATTGATAACGTTTAATAAAAAAAAAAGATTCGCTCTGGGCCTTTTGGAGGGAAAAGTGTCGTTTTTATTTTGACTTTCAATTATATTGTGAAATCTAGTTTAAAGTGGAATAGGATAGTGCTATTGTGCCTTAATCGAAGATTATAACGCGAAATTATACGAATCTCGAACAAAAATACCCGTATCGGCCCGTTCTAAGGAATCTCGAGTCAATCCAAGCACGCCGCCTCAAATTGCCTATCCTCTTTCTGGCGGCCATATTTACAGAAACATAATTAAACGAAGACATGGCTCAAAGGACTTGTATCCAAGCCAAAATTATTAATAAAAAAAAGTTTAATAAAAAAATCATTTTAAAAATAAGATTAAAATCAAAGCGACTTTATAGTTTTTTGTTCTAAATATTTCAATGGCTTGTGGTTCGAACAATTGAAAATGACCAAGAAGTTTATATAAGCTTCTTGAAAATGACGTAATGGGTCTCTTTCCATCTTTTGCGCATGAAATGTGTAGAAAAAGGACAGTTAGCTATTTGATTATTTTGTGATTTATATTTACGATTCATGTAATATAATACTGTACAAAATAGCACTTTTAAATGAGAATTATGATAACACAATATATTTGTTTAGTGAAAATATGATACAAAATCTGTTTTTACACTTTACTGCAGTAATTTTTACAAGCTATTAATATATGGCACTGCATGATTGACAATCACGCTGTCAGTTGAACAAACGAAGATAGTTGCGCGATTGTTAGCGCGCACCCAACGTCCATTTATTGGTAGGTCAATGAATGAAACAGTTTAATTTATTTCCAAGCTTTTATTCGTAATCTTTTGGGCATAACGACGTCGGCGTCATCTTTGCCAGGCTTAACCATGTCTTTCTGGAGCTCAACGATCATCCGCAACATAAAGTTCATCACTTGATTGCACGTTCCGTCTCGGAGTCGACTGAAGTCTCTGGAATGAAGGCATAAATATTCGTCACCTAAAAGGATAACTTTAGATTTTACTAGAAGAATTTCTAGTGAAGTATGTAGGTACTGGTACTTTCAAAAGACTGTCTAGTATATCACTGGTAATCACGTGTATCAAAATAACGTTGAGTAATTCCTAAAAGCGCATTCCGCTAGCTATAATTCCATTTGTTTACGTACTTAACTAAATGTAAACAATCTTGAGATTTCTATTTAATGAAATATAACATTTACAAAATTATTTTATATACTTACCTTCAAATACAAAATACAAATACTTAGCTTCATATGAA